GTCCGCCATCGTCGTCCCCCAGATCTTGGGCACGACCTTTGGCCCGGTGGTCCAGGGTGACGGGGCAGGGCCTGCGCACGCTCCTGCACCCCCGCTGGCGGGTGATGGCTGGCATACCAAGACGAGCCGGCGGCCTTGCACTCCGTCGACCCGGGACCCGCATCCGCGGCGCCGCCGCCCAGCTTCGGGGCTGCGCGTCCTCACCGCTGCCCGCCCGCACCCTTCTTCCAAACAGCTGGTGGAGTTGTACGGGTGTTGCTACAATTGTGGAAGTGAAGGCCACATCTCCAGGGAGTGTACCAACCCTACGCTCTGTGTTCGCTGCCGTGGGCCTGGCCACACCTCGCGCGGGTGCACTCGTCCGCACAGCCCGTCTCCGGTGGAGCAGCCAACGCACCTGCCGCTACCTCTTCGGCTTCGGGAGGCTGTGGATCCTCCCTGCCGCTTTCCCCAGCCCTGCCACCCCCACCTCCGGGCCCTCTGCCGCAGTCTCAGCACTCGCCCTCAGTCCTGCCACCGCCGCCGCCGGGCCCTCCACCGCCGGGCGCGGTGCGGCTGTGGAGTCAGGTGGTGCAGGGGCCGCCCACGGCGCACCCGTCTTTGGGGGGTGGGGCCTCGGGGCCAGATTTCTCGTTGCAGTTTGACCTGGTGGAGGGGTTGATTCCCCGGCGTGAGCTGGAGCCGCGGGAGCCGCTGGAAGTTTGCTTCTTAGAGGCGGCCGACGACACGCGGAGGCTTGAGGCAGAGCTGACTAGGGCTGTGCTGGTCACTGTGACCGGCGACAGGCCGATGGTGGATGTGGACTCTGCGGCGCATGCATTGCACGCGGCGTTCGATGTCGGTCCGGCGGAGATGTCCATCCGGCGTTTCTACCCGGAGGACTTCCTCGTGTTGTGCCATGACGGTGCATTGCGGGAGTGCATGGTGCGCGAGGGCCGGGCGGAGGCGTTATGGTTCGAGCTCTCCCTGCATCCATGGCTACGGCAGGCCCAGGCCACAATGGTGTCTTTGCTGTTCCTCGTGCCGATCTCGCTGCGAGGAGTGCCCGTGCATGCCTGGTGCCAGTGGACGGCCAGTGCGATCTTGCGCGGGCTTGGCTTCATCGTGGGGGTGGATGAGGACACTGCGAGTCGTGCGGACATTGTGGATTTTCGCGTTTGCTGCGCACTGACAGACCGGAGCTGATTCCGAGGAGAAGGCTGCTCTTGATCGATGAACCACGCGAACGCTCTGGGCAGAGGAATCTAGACGGCGGATGACAGTGCAGCGGGGTGCTTGTGCGCTCTGGTATCCCATCGATATCGTGGTGCTGGACGATCCTTGGGCGGACGGTGAGGCCCCAGATGGGCAGCCGACGCCGCCACCGCCACCTCCGCCATCCCTGCCTACGGGTGATGATGGCTTGGCTGATGGGCAGGCCGGGGGCGGCTTCGACCGCTGGGGTGGTTTCGGTGGTGGTTCGGCCAGTAGGGCGGGCTCGTCGACCGGGGCAGCGCCGCCGCCGGGCACGCGCGCCCGAGTTCAAATTTCTCATAAGGAGGAGCGGCTAGTCAGCAGCAGCCGCGTGGCCGACGTTAGGGGCCTGCTTGCGGGCCCGGGTGGACAGCCAATTGCATGCGTTGGCGTGGATAGCGACAGCCATGCCCACTCTTGGGAGGCGTCCTGCACGGGCCCGGTGGGTGCTGTTGTTTCCATTGGGTCTCCACCTTTGGTGCAATTGGGCAGATGGCGACAAGGGACAGATTGGGTTGCTGCAGCTTTGCAGGGTGTTGGGGACCGTGCTTTGGACTACGGGCCCTGCGGTGGAGCGTTGCAGGATGATTCCATCCATATCGGATTGGTGCAGATCTCGCTGCAACAACTAACCGACGAAGATCCTGTCTGCTCTGGTTTGGTGAAGATGAGGAACTCCTGTCGCCGTAATCTGGGATGGATAACCAGGGCATGCAGGTGGGGGCCATGGATATGTTCCTGGTCAGTCTGTCTGCTAGCGGGGACAGGCCGAGGGCAGCGTGGGGCGGAGCCCAGGGGCATGTGCGAGGGTGTACACACCGGATGACTAGCCAGGAAGCGCACTGGATCCTAGGCCATGCATGCTGGCTCCCGCGCATGTTGGACCGGAAAACGACAATACGCTGGACCGGATGCCATGCACTCCGGCTCCCTTGCATGCGCGGTTGGATATGGACAACGCGTAGGATTCGAGGCCATGCACGCCAGCTCCCATGCTGGGGGCACAGGACGGAAATTTCCACGTGGTGCTAAGGGAGTTTTGTGCAGGTCTTCGCAAGGCTGTTTCTTCGATACTGCTGCGGCCTACATCTAGAGCTGTTGCTAACCCGAGTCGCCAAACAAGGAAGAAGCCAAGGTTGGAAGTCACGCCAAGACGGAGTGCTAGAATTGCCAAACAAGCGGCCACCAAGCAACACCAAGTGCTCATCAGAAAATTGTGTCTTGCGCATGAGGGGGAGGTCATTTCGGAGGAGGCACTACGGATGTACGTGGATCTCTTTTCTCGCCCGCTCTCGTACATGCATATCGCGATGGTGCTTGCCTTGTTTGGTTGGGAGTCACCTCCGGAGCCGGGGATGGAGGACCCCATGGTGGCCTAGCTAGGTTCGTTGGCTAGGGCTGGTTGTTGTGGGCTATGAACATGAATGCTTAACCTCTTAAAGTGATAGTGTGGAACATGCATGGGCTCAATTCTAGGGCGCAACGCCATGCGGTTTTCCAGGTGATGAACATGGCCAATCCGGCGATTGTGTGTTTGCAAGAAACCAAGTTGCAAGATGTATCGGTGAGCATTGTTGGGCAATGCCTCGTGAATAAATATGAGAAGTTTTTTTACTTACCGGCGGTTGGCACTAGGGGTGGGATCTTGATAGCTTGGGATGACACCATCACCCAACTATAGAACCCACATTACACAAACCACACTTTGACGACCCTTGTGAAGTGTCCAGAGGACGAACAGGCGTGGTGGCTGACTTGTGTGTATGGACCACAAGAGGAGGCCGGCAAGATGGAATTTTTGCAGGACTCGGTGGATATTCGCGATCTACATGCGGGTCCATGGCTGGTTGCAAGGGATTTTAAACTCCTTGCAAGACATGAGGACAAGAACAATGACCTATTTAACTGACGGATGCTTAGGCGGTTTAGAGACAAGTTGAACTTCTTGGAACTAAAGGAGCTCTACCTGAATGGGCGGAGATATACGTGGTCGAATGAGAGGCAGAATGCAACTTTAGAGAAGATTGGTCACGTGTTTGTGTCGAATGAGTGGGACGAGGCTTTCCCATATTATTCTCTATCCGCTCTTGGGACCGCGTTATCGGATCATTGCCCGCTCATGTTGGATATGAACGTGGAGGTCAACACGAAGAAGCGGTTCAGGTTTGAAGCATTCTGGATCAAAGTGGAGGGCTTTATGGAGGTGGTGCGTACGGCTTGGGACTTGACACCGGCAACTACAAATGACTACCTCACACTTCATAATAAGTTGAGAGCCACAACAGTCAGCTTGCAAAAATGGAGTGCCCGTTGGATTGGAAACATTAAACTTCAAATAGCCATTGCGCTGGAAGTGACTAAGAGGCCGGATATTGCCATGGACTCCAGGACACTTTCGGAGGATGAACGGGACCTGCGGAGAACCTTGAAGAGGAAG